AGACAAAGTCAGAATGCTCTGAACAGGCAATTAAAGTGCGCAAAGTGAGGACAAATCAGAAAAAATTTTCTTTATCGCAACCTACTGACAAGGACATACTAAATAAAGCACTAGAAGGTCCAATTTTTGAAGGACAATCTCAAACAACAGAAGATGGAACATTCCCATATTTGCCCCGTAGGGCAGACATAGGCCAACCTTCTGGAGAAAGGAATGAGTCAAGAATTGCCCGAAGAAGTATGGACCCATGTGAAATGTATTCTGACAAATTGCGCAAACCAGTAACTACTCGCGAACAACTACACAAAGGAGTAGGAGTGGCAAATTGTGGTGCTGTATCGAATTCCATCATACCGAATCGGATTCAAAAGAGCTCTTCATTCAACCCAACTCAAGGTGACAATGAGCGCCACAATTTAAGGCAGGTCAGCAGAAAATTCGACACTTCTACCGGTTGCAGTATTAGCAACAGCAATCTCAACACCCCAGCCTATCGATACGACCCGATTAGCCTTAGCGACGGTAATTGCCTGACAAACTGTGAAGATCCGGCCTCGAGGATAATTGTTCGTCGGGAAAGTTCGCATGCCTCGACGGTATCAAACAGCTCGAATACGATTGTAGCTCTGACTGGGGAACGCCTGCCTCAGCTAGGCACATCCAGAAGCACTCCGGTTGACAGTATTAACTCCGACACTGACAACGATGCAGAAGAGGTACAGAATGGAGAATCGCTCCTAATAATTCGTGAAACACCTGGACCGTCATGATAAAAATCCTTAATCGACACTTTTTAGTACTATTATCACCTCACCTGGACCTCATGTTTTCAGGGCTTTCATTTGACCGAAGATCTTCGTTTTGTTTTCAACACAAATATTTCACTCAACCAAAAAACAAACCTTCGTAAATATGCTCAGAATAAATACAGCATACCCAATCTTCTCACGCGTTCACACTGTATAGAGTAATATACGTCCAGAATCAACGACTCCTGGTGCCCCAACTGCATGTGAAGCAGTATTTACCTGACACGAATTTTATTCACGTCCACCATTTGGCTTTTTTATACTTTTGGCGGTTAGTAAAATGGAGAAATAGAACTTTCACACCTTTATTGCGACGTTCTGTTCTTTCTGTACATAAAATAAAAGTACCCTTCAATTAATATTTTTACATCCGAAATTTTCTCAACCTGTGAGTGCTAACTAAATTCAGCATTATTCATTTACGGAATATTTTTACTCAATTTTGTGCATGAATCACCTATCAGTTTATGATGTAGATTATTCTTTATATCAAACGGAATGTAGTCTGTGCTAGCAGTGGAACTATGTACTTTTGTGACAAGTTGAGTGTAAATAGTGCCATTTCGGAGCAACAAATTCAATACAATTAATTATTAGGACATTATGTAATGGACAGACGATTCAGGACTTAAGAGGTGACGAAATAAAACAAATGAAAACATCAATGAAAGGGACTTTATCCCCTGAATTCTTTGTTGTTTTTATTCATAATTCCTCATTATTGAAGTGACTTTTATGACTGTGAATTGCCCAAGTCAAGAGCAGTACATCCCTGGGTCATGTCAATTGGAATTCTTTCTAGTATCGAAATCTGTATCAAATTGAAGAAGACAAATTTGTTCCATGTAGGTGAAGTGAAGTTGATTTTAAAAAAGGAGAGTAAAATGGTGAGAAATTGAACTGTTTGACAAGCAATGTCTATTTTAGTGATAGGGCTTGTGGAACAGAAGAGCATGAGGAGCACATATCTTGCATACTTCCTCACTAATGGCAAGTTGTAATTTCACGAGCAAAATGCTCAAAAGAAGGAATACTCAAGGTTTCCTACGAGAAAAAATGACTCAAGGGAAATGGCCTGTCGGAGGTTTTCGTGGGCAGACAGGGCCGCTTATTTAAGACGCCAAAGGGACGTGGAAGGATGGATCTTCTGAGAAAAATTCATGAGACCATTGGCAATTGTGTGCAGAGCTGAACTTGAGGCCAGTAGTTATAAAAGTACCGCTTTTAAATTGCAATGCTAATGAGGATTATACCTAAAGGGAATCGAAAATGTGTATGAAAAAAATTAGATCTTGTGGCAGTACATGTCTGTTGAGATTATGACTTTAGGAACTTTTCTTAAGCTAAAGGCTGGAGTCAAGGAATATTGGAGTTTAATAATACTTTATCAGCAACTGGATTCCAATCGATAGATAGGGACCTCCCTTATTTAATATTGAAGTGTTCCAATCGTCGTTAGACAATAAAAGTGATGTTAGTTACGCAGCATCTGGCAACACAGGTTATTTCCATCTTAATTCTTTGCATTTGGACGAGTCCAATGGAAAAAGGCTTAATGATCCGCTGAGGATCATGAAATACTAACCTCCAAAATAATTGCAAAATAATTGCAATTCTGTTCTAAATTCTTCAGCTAAGTTTATTTGGAAGTGTGTCATATCTGAAGAAGAAGTGAATTGACTCAGCATGGGAGAATCGAACAATTTACGTATAAATTCAAAGACACTCGGCAAGCCATTTTGTACAGACGTAATCATATTGGTTATGCGCCAATTTTAGATGATTGATGAACTTTTAAAGGTAATAGTATTGTTCATTTCGTCTTCATAAAATTGAATTTCTGATATAAGTCGTCTATGAAAGTGAGTAAACTAAACATTCTTAGGGTGAGCCATCTCTTAAATTTTTACTTATTGTAAAATTTCATCTTGTTACTTAATTTAACATCAGAGAGAGCCTGTCCTTAATGGCTTGGGAGCCAGGAAGGTTTAAGAATCCATCTTAAGCCGTAATCCTTATGCTTATTAAATTATAAACTATAGCCAATTTCGTATAAGCTAGAAACTCGGCTTATGATTATCAAAT